CTGGGCGCTGTCCCTCAGCTCTTCAGCTCAAGGCTAGCACTCTACCACTTGAGCCACAGCGCCACTTCCGGCTTTTTTCTTTTTGCTTATGTGGTGCTGAACCCAGGGCCTCAGAGCCTCAGGCATGCAAGGCAAGCCCTCTACCACTGAGCCACCTTCCCAGCCCCTTCTGTAGGATTTTTGCAGATATTAAATAAACTAATGTATGTAAAACATCACCATCTGAGGTGGCACTATCTCTACAGAGGATAGGAGGACTTAGCTTGTCCAGGCTCCTCTATTTAGCATAATGCAGATTTGTAATTAGTCTAAGCAACTGATTCTAGAGACTGTCCTTTTAACCATTAAGCTATCCATCTTAGGAGGTTGTTTTTGTTTTGGAAGTCATATTGTCAGGTTTAATAGTTTTATACATATACATATATGTGTATTTAATAGTTATACATGTGTATATATATTTGATAGCTATATATGCATATATTTAATAGTTATAAATATGTAACATGTATATATATATGTGTATACACACACAAACACACACACATTTATTAGTGCGGTTTGAGCTTAAGGCTCATGTCCTTGCCTGGAAGATATTTTAGCACTTGAGCTATACTCCCAGCCCCACCTTAGACTTTTACTATTATTTTAAATAACTTCAAAATATTTTTTGAATGTAATTTCATTGTTATTGTTAAGGTGGTGTATAGAGGGATTACCATTGCACAATTCAAGAAATGTATACATCTTTTTTTTGGACAATGCTACCTCTTCCTTTGTCTTTTACCCTCCAAGGTATTTTAAAATATTGCAAAAAACTGTAATGTCCTTGGAGGTTGAGGATGATGGTGTAGATTAGTTATACTTTGGGCTTTTTCTGCTTATGTGGTGCTGAGGAATCGAACCCAGGGCCTCATGCATGCAAGGCAAGCACTCTACCACTGAGCTACCTTCCCAGCTTTAGTTGTCTGTTTTAGCATATCATTTTGTTCTGTTGAGATGCTCTTTTTATATATATATATATATATATGTATGTAATATATATATATATGATTCTATACTAACGTATATATTATCTATAGTCATAGAACATATTATACAAAGTATTTTGGAAAATGTCAACTAAGTTCAATACTATACATGAAATACTTTTAAAGCTGGTATGATACCATATTTGCACTCATGTATTTTGAATTGTATATGTCCACATAATTATTTTTTAGGTCTCATATGCAATGGGCACATTACTGGAAAAAATATGATTCATTTTGTGTCCTTATCTATTGAATCCTTGGTGACAAACCTAAATACTTAAGAGTTATAGTTATATTTGTAGCATAATCTTGTCAATATGGACTCTGCTAAATCTGTTAAATTATTTCCTTCTGTGACTTTTATAACTCATCTCTAAAAGGTCATAGTAGACTACATTGTTGAAGCTATAAATGATTTATTTTTTTCTACTTGAGAATACCCTGAGGCCAGTGTTCCTGTTTAACACAGTGTTTCTGCTTAATGTTTTAGATCATAGTTATTAGAAGTGGCATTGTTGAATTGGTAAAGCCAATATATGAAATTCAAGGTTCAAACCCAAGAAAGATTATAATAGATAGTATACATTTACCTCATTTACCCGTGTTTTTTTTCTCTGTAAGATGTTTAGTGTGCTGAAGAAGCATGAAGAGAAAAAAGCTTAGTATGAAAACATTTTTTCCCGTGTAGCCAGTTCTATTTACACAAGTTAATAGTTTTTTGTTCATTCAATAATGAAGTTGAATAATCCTCCAGGGTACTCTTTTTACACAAAAACAAATTGCAGTTTTCCTTTGCGTCACTGGGTGGCGATTTTTCATAGTCTTATACTTCGGTTTAAAAACGCAGCAAGCATGGAGCTATTTGTAATTACCAGGGTTTTCTTCTGTTATGACATGTCTAATTGTACTTTTAACACATTATCTTTAAGTTGATTACAAATGTTGTACTATAGTGTGAAATCTCAGTTATTTTAAATTAGGAAAGTGTATTGCCTAGATGTTGGCATATCATTCCTTCTAAAACCAAGACAAAGGCATGAATTAGCTTATTATGTGAGAGGAAAATAGCAAACATATACATATAAGTATGTATGTTTATGTACAAACACATACATATATGTGTAATATATAATAGAAAAGAAATAACTAACATTGTTGACCAAATACTGAACGTAAGTTTGAAGCAGGAAGAATGAAATGGGGCAAGATATTACAGAGATGAAAGGAATTGTGTTACAGTATAACTGAAATTCATCGTTTTTCAGAATATGCAGGTGTTTCTTAAAGTAGGACATCAGACTTCCAGCTTCCATTAAGTTAATTATTTTGTAAAACTCTGACTTTTGAACCAGCTTAGTAATAACAATATTTAACAGATTTTATCTTTTAATTATTAATATTTTGATATTTCAAGTTATGTATTTTATTGGTATTAAAATATGCAATTTAGCCTCTGCTCCCTTTATTTTCTAGCCTAAATGATGAGTGACATTTTTGAAAATAGTGAGATATTTTAAAGATTCTTTCCTCTTTCAGTCTTAGAATCAAAGAACATATACATATATCAGCTAAACAAATGTATTTTTATTTGGAACTTTGCAAGGTCAA